TTGACAGTCATTTTTGGATACAGGGTTTGATTCATTCGTTTCAACGTCGAGAGATTTCTCCACTGGCTCTCATCCTGTATCTGTTTCGTTTGGTCTGGTTCAGCTCGGTTGGTTTGATGTCTGGGGCACTGACAGATAACGCCTGTGGATCGTTTCACAGGCCGCGGTCACCGAAATTCACCTGGAACCTCTTCTAGTTTAGTGCCCAAAAACAAGCATCATCCTCCACTGAAAACACACAGGCGCGTGTCCGACGGAAAAACCCTTGTTCCCGGGTCTTTCATCTTCAACCAAGCTAGCTTCTCATTTCTTGGAAGCAACCAAAAACGACGGCGTCACAAGCCGAAGCATTTCTCACTTGTGTCTACCATTCTCTACTCACATCGTGCTCTTATATCCCTATTGCTCCTCTTCCATTGATGGTTCAGCGATCGATTGTTTTTCTCTCGTCACAATCGCTGTTTACTGTGGATCCATCTCGCGGCGCGTTGTGCGTTGCGTTGCGCTGCACGACAACGCATAAAGTTTGATTTGAAAAGGATAATAAACAAACGCGCATGCAAAGCACATGTACACATTGGAAGACGAACGATATATATAACCCGCTGTCGAAGATCCGGCTTCCTCAGCTAACGGATAGGAACGACGAGAGCTGTTGACGCGACTTGGTTGCCTGGGGAATTATTTGACAGCAGAACACGATTGCTTCAACATGACTTCTCCTACTGAAGCCACACAGGCTTTGCAAACCTTGCAGGGCGATACAATTATTGTTAAACATCCTCGAGAGCGACTGAACCCCACGACACCTCAACCCCAAGAAGCAGGACCCCAAGATCCAGCTGCGGTGACATTACCTTCGACAGAGATTCCAAATTCGCCCATCGATCCAAACGAATCCTTTAGAACCGAGATCAACGAGGATCGACCGGCCGTCACGGTTATCCCGTCGTCACTTACACCGCCCCCGTCGACCCAGGTTAACAGCCATGCCAGTCAAGCTGGTCCCGGTCCCTCCAAACGAAAGTTCTCTGGCTCCCAGCAGTCGTCGACACTCTTCTCCCCGCCAGCTACAGTACCCAATAACATACGCGAACGTCCTGTGACAACGGAATTCCTCCCTCCCGCTCCGCATCAGGTCCTCGAGGCGTCCGCCGACGAGCTGCGCGTCATGCTTCAATCGGCTCTAGCAGAGCAACAAAAGCTCAAGATGGAGACAGCTCATCATAAGTTACAGTATAACTTATTGTCTATCCAGGCCGACGACGATGCCAAGCGTGCTGCTGTCGAACACGAGATGATGCGTCGCGAGGTAGACGCGCTGCGAAATGCAGAATTCACCAGAATGGCTAGAAAAGAATTTGATCAGCCGTCCGAGGCATTACAAACAAAGTATTTACAGATGAAGACGCGGTATGAGGCCATGCTACAAGAGAATGAGATCCTCCAACGCCGGGTCCAGACTGCTAAGAAGGTCATCAAGCAAAGCGAGGATGAAAGCATTGCTCTTCATGAGGAGCGAGATATGTTACTAAGACGAATACGTGAGAACAGAGAGCATATGCAGATGCTCTGTAGACCTGGGGGTATATTTCACGCAGTCTTGACACCCAGACAGAAAGTCGCTGTCGTGACACAAGGGTACAAAAACTCTCAACAACAGCAGACATCTAGATCACAAGGGGAGCATGGTCTCTCGGCTTTGTTGCAGGCTATGAGCCAGGATAACAACAGCGCGCCTTCGACACCGCTGCATTCTCATCGCCCTGCGCCACGCGTCGGAAAACACAACCGCAACTCGCAATCCATGTCGTCTCTGCCCACGACGCCTATGAACCGGCCGGTGGGTACAAATGTTGGGCTTCTTCCATCGGTGGATCTGGTACCTCACTCGGAGCCGCATCGATACTCCCAGAGACAGTTCATTCCTACGACACCTGTGGCCAAGACTGACCGCCGCCGTAGGAGTCGAGAGAGCACTATTTCAGCAGACGATAATGAGGAGCTAGCCAGGCAGGCGCTTGAGTCGGTTGCCGCAGCTCAGTCGTTTACATCACAGTCACGAAACCAGAGCGACCAGGATGGAGAGGTGTTTGATAGCCAGGCTAGTCAAGCTGCTGCAGAGATGCTGCGGCGAGATCCGCGGCAGAGCTTTGAGGTAGCCGAAACCTTGAAGAACACACCAGGACCAATGGAGAAAACAGTTCGCATGCAGGAGAGACTACTTTCCCATCGAAATGGAGATAGCGACAAGCGAAAATTCAGCGGCAACCATTCATCTACCGGGGAGATACGACTCGATCAAGCAAGTCCAGCGAAGAAGTCCAAAGTGGTTGAACCAATGGCAGATGGGCAAGACAAGCTAGGACTGGGGATTCAGTATAGACAGTGAAATGTCTGGGTCAGAAGCAGATTGCAAATGGAGTTCGGGGTACGATTATAACGACGGCATCGGCACAGGAGGGCGTTGACGGTATTGCATTTGGCGAGTTTGTCTATCTATGTTGGCTTGACAAAAGAGGGCAGAATGCCACTGCCGAAATTATGTATAAATGGAAAGATTGTTCAAGTTGCAACAAGATATTGAATCTCATTAGAAAGTGATGTCTCATGATGAGTGTCGCACAGCCATAGACGCCACACGTAGGGATCTTACCCGACGCTCCGACATTTCAAGCCACACTCGCCAACATTACCCGAAGTCTGAAGCCGGTGTTGAGGATCCACTTTCGGCTCATGGCAACGGGACGGGAGTGTTCCGGCTTTCGGCGGGGGTGGAGGGTAATGGGATCTGGGATATTTACTTACCCGGCTCATAAACACTTCTCTCACTTCTCATCATGAACCTTTGATCTCTTCTCTTCTCCTTCATCGTATCAATTGGCCTTTCCTCCAACTCATAATCTCCCATATACCCCCAAATACCTTCATAATGTCGGTCCGTCTTCACAAAGGCCTTCAAGGCGTCCTCGCCAAATCCCCTTCCGACACCGTAATCCTCTCCGCCGTCCGCACTCCCATCTGCCGCTCCTACAAGGGCCAGCTCAAAGACGCATACCCCGAGGAACTCCTCGCCAGCGTCCTCAAAGCCACTCTCAAAGCACACCCCGAAGCCCCCGTCGACGATGTAGCAGTCGGCGTTGTGCTCTCCGAGCTCGGCGGTTCCAAAGCGGCGCGCATGGCTCTCAACCACGTCGGCTTCAAGAACACCACTAGCTTGTACACTGTGAACCGCGCGTGCTCTAGTTCTCTGCAGGCCATTGCTGCTGTGTCGGCGCAGATCCAGACGGGCATGATCGATACGGGTATCGCAGCTGGTATGGAGAGCATGACGAGGAATTACGGAAGCAGAGCTATCCCTGTGGATGTGTGGCCGGAGCTGAAGACCTCGCCTAATCGTCATGCGCAGGATTGTATTATGCCTATGGGTTTGACGTCTGAGAACGTTGCGGAGCGATATGGTGTTTCGAGAGCGGATCAAGACGCTATGGCTGTTGAGTCCCACCGTCGTGCTGCGCGTGCGAGAAAGGAGGGCCGCTTTGCGGAGGAGATTGTACCCGTTGAGACGCGATTCCAGGAGGTTGATAAGCAGGGTAACAAGGTTGGCGAGGAGCAGCGCATCACTGTTACTGCTGATGATGGTATTCGTGAGGGCGTTTCCATTGAGGCTTTGGCTAAGCTCAAGCCTGCTTTCAAGCCTGACGGCGCTTCAACAGCTGGAAACTCGAGTCAAGTCTCCGACGGTGCTGCCGCTACCCTCCTCATGCGCCGAAGCACAGCTACCGCCCTCGGTCTCCAAGACCGCATCATCGGAAAATTCGTCTCAGCCGTCACAGTCGGCTGCGATCCCGATGAGATGGGTATCGGCCCCGCCCTCGCTATCCCCAAGCTCCTTGACCAGGTCGGTCTCAAGACGGAGGATGTGTCACGGTGGGAGATCAACGAGGCGTTTGCGAGCCAAGCGCTGCACTGTGTGAGGGAGTTGGGACTCGAGGATGCGTGGGCGAAGGAGAAGGTTAACCCTGACGGAGGCGCTATTGCGCTGGGACATCCTCTTGGAGCTACTGGTGCGAGAATGGCGAGTACGCTTTTGCATGGACTTAAGAGGGATGGTGGTGAGGTTGGTGTTGTGAGTATGTGTGTTGGTACGGGTATGGGTATGGCTGGGTTGTTTGTTCGGGAGTAGATTGATATCCGGGGAAAGAAAGTTAAAAAGTAGATTGGGGAGCAAACAAAATTGAATATTGGGTTATACTACACTTGATACTGAGAACTGCTGAAGCATGGCGATAGGAAACTGAGGTGGCGATGCCTGTCGGCGGCTTGTAGTCCGGGACGCAACGATTTGATCGCATCGGTACATCCCCGTAAAAACAGACAGTTTCGGCTGATCCTCGTCGCAACTACCAGTGATTTAATGGTCAGAGGTGAAGAAGAATAACGGGACTAAACCAGCAAATCGCCTGGGAATACAAAGCCAATAACGAGCAGCTGAATGTTCTCTACGGTACAGTTCAAAGAAGTGTCAATCTCAGAAAGTTAATGTAAATGAAAAAGCGATGAACTTAGGATTGGGAAAAAGAATGCGTTGCTGCTAGGCGGGTTGATATAATAGCTATGGTCCAGGTGAATCTGCTGATATGCCAATGGCGATTCACTCGCGATTGGATGAGAACAAGGGTATTCTACACATGCATGTATAGTCAGTTCATCGTATGACAATCGGAATTGCCAGTGTTTCTCCATCAGAACCAACACTCGTCATGACTTCGAACTTCTGGGTAGTGTTGATGGCGCTTATTTGGAAAAGGGGTTTTCCGGAACGCCGGTCATTGAGCTAGTCGTACCAACGTTATCAATCATTGACTAGACTAACGATCTATGAATACTAGACCCAACAACCGGCGTTGTGCAGCTCTGGATATCATCTAAGACACTTGTCCACGCCTGGGCTTGGTTGGTCAATGGTCTGTTACAGGGTATGAATGTGGCTTGCGTCGAAAGGCTGACTGCAGGTATTTCAGGGAGACATAAAGAATGCTTGCTTTGCTTGTTGGGTTGGATTATATGTATTCTAATAAAAATATTTTCGCCCCTTGCTTCTCTTCCAATTAACCCATCAGTCACTCTAGTCATCTAACGTAGAGACAAGTGAACCAATTAATCATGCCCCCCAAACGCCAATAATAATAACAACAATGATGGTACAATTCATGTTTATGCGACTTCAATGTCGATGACGTTTGACTTGAATGGCCCTGTTAGAGTCTCGTTTGCTGGTGTGCCCTCCTCGAATGATGTGTAGTCAACATTCTTCTTCTCCTTTGTCCACACAGCATTCCACGTCCCCTTGAGCTGCACCGTCGCGCCCTCAAACACCTTGTCCATCGGAACAACAGGTTCCTGGAGGGTGAATTCCCAAATGGCCGATCGGCCAGGCAGAATCTCAATTAGAGCATCATCAGCAGGCGGCCAGAGTCGTGAGGCTTCAATCTGCATGATGTCAAGTGGTTTGCTGTCGCCCTTTGGCGTGATGTAGAGAATGCCAAGAGAAATGCCCAAGGGGTCCAAGGGTGAGCCGTAGCTGAGAATAGTGACGGGCTCATCATTGTTGTTTGTGACGGCTGCGCGGATGAGAACAGGATCTTTCTCCTCTTGAGAAATGGAGACGTCGAGTCTTTTAAGTGCAGCTGGCATCCTGAATGATAATGCGACGTCTGGTACGTAGCCTGTTGGTGTGAAGAAGGCGATGAAGGTGAGTGCGACTGTTAGGCCGATGAGTAGGCGTACAGCTGAAGACGCGAAGATGGCCATGGCATGAGCTCAGTTTTTGAACAGAATCCGTAAGGCAACAATGAAAAAAATGAAATGAGTGAGTTGACGTCAAAGGAACAAGGGATTGTTTCAGTCCCTGTATCACGTAGATAATGGCATAAAGGAGAGTGAGGTGAGGATGAATGAAGATTTGATCCCAAGAGAATGAAATGAGCGTGCAGAGGGAGCTGAGCTGGATTCGGAGTACGTCCCATTAAAATAACTTAAGATAATAATTAACCTTACGTTGAGCTAGAAGGTGTGCGACTGTTCCCCTAACGCAAGATCCAGGGGCTCAAGGCATCTCACGTGGATTGCATTCTTTGTGCTGTGCCGCTATCCTCCCTTATAAAGGTGGCGCAAAGACACTGTTATTGCGGGTGGTTTTAGTCCAGGGTCTACTTTGAGCTATTGAACGCCGCTATGGATACTCTACTTTAATGCTATTTAGCAGATTCCATCAGTTGCTAGCTCTAGTCGCTTGGCGCGGGTTGTGGGCGGCGTACCGAGTTTGATTTGAGTCCACAATCCTCCGGGTCTAGCGAAAAGATTGAGCACAGAATCCGTAAGCGACGTTTTCGAAAGTCAATTCAATAACAAGAAACGGTCGCGTGGCCCAATGGCAAGGCGTCTGACTACGAATCAGAAGATTCTGGGTTCGATCCCCAGCGTGATCATTCTTCTTGTTGATTGAGCCTCTTGTCATGCCTTTTTGCTAATGACTTGACTGTATCGGTTACTGGAGTTCCGATGCATGTCGAAACGTTGATCTTACTCCCTTTGCTGCCGGGAGTGGGATGATCAATCTAAACATAATCTCTCGGCAATCGGTGCCAGCATTTTTGCACACTACTCACAACTGTGACCATAACATGGTTGCAGTTCTTGACAGTTATAAATGTATTAACATCAAGTCTTGCCTGTTGCAACTCGTTGCGGGTATACTGCTGTCTACATACAATGGATCGGAGACTCGAACTGGTCCAGGGTAAACGGAGACATTTCCACATTCGAAGAGAGCCACTATAATGAATCAGAACTGAGCAATAACTCGTATGCCGTGTGCGACATCATCTCCATGGTGCTTTAGCCTATGCGAACGTTCCCTTTCAGTGCCCCATGGACAGGTTCGATAGCTTATCCAATGAATTAATGCTGCACCTCTGTAAAAGTCTAACATGAACCTGGTTCTTCCTTCCAATGAATTATCACATGCCTCGTTCTTATGAGTCTTGATACTACAAACTGAGGCCTTCAACTGGTCCCAACATTAAAATATCTCGACAAACGCGGCAAGCCAAACAAACAAGACTCACATGCAACTATCCATCGCCCTTCAGAACATCTTACCAATAGAATCCTTCAATAATCGTGCGCAGTCATGTTCTCAAACTGGTCCAAGCAAGCTTGTTTGACTTAGATTTGGCACCTGCTCTAAAAGTTCTCAAGTCAATGCTCCGTGCCGATCTTTGTACGTTATTTCGAGTATCATGGGTCTATTAGACCGGAGATGAATCGATCATCCTTGCAAATCTTGTCAGATATGAGAATGGAAATGATCGGAGGCTGGTGTATAAGCTTAAGTGGTAGTGTGGAGGGGCTTGTTCAGACGTTGGAAGACCTGCAGGATAGTGGAAAGCCAAGACGTCTCGAGGTTTTCACCGTCAGATATATCAGTTTACCGAAAGATCGTTCGGTAGTGTCTTCGACTACTTTGTTATTAGTTGACCACGGCTGTCTATCGAAACAATTATTACCATCTCAAAATCACATGCCGTCAGCAATCTGATACACGATAATGCCCAACCTTTTACCCAAAGCCGTAAACAATTCCGCTATCCAATAATCTCAACTCATCACGCTATAGAAACGGCCCGTTAAACAACAAACCACAATCTCCTTCCCCAACGGCCCAAAGTCGTCTCAAGTTGAACGGGGAGTCACCTTGTTTTAATGTATTCACAAACAACCCTTCCAATCTCGTAACCTTGATTTACGATGATCTCTTATAGCCTTGACCGATCCTATTGTGGGGCGCTCTCATCCTAGCTGACGATGCTACATGGTGTGTTTCGAAAGGGCATGACGCCCGGACCTGACTTTGATCCTTTTTTAATTTTGGAGGATCTTCGATTTTGTTACATCGGACAGAGTCAATTGGGAAAGTTAAGTTTAACTGTGTAAATCGGAAGATAAACTCAAAAGGCGAAAATAGCATAAAACAAACGGCGATAGTAGAGGATGGGTAACGTCGGGAGTTAATTTTCGGACAATTAATTCGAGAATCGCAAAGGATGGAGAGCGGAGATGGCTTGTGTCAAACATATTGACATGTCCGAAACGAAACCCTGAATCGGTCCACACCAAGACGGATCAATATCGTCGCAAGTCCCCTGCTTCCAAGTCCAGACGAGTCGCAGGGTATCAACTCTAGGCTGTATAAGTATTCACGATACCTCACTTCCCTCAGCATGTCTTCATCCTCTTCACAACAGTCATTCCTTTCATTCATTCGTTCTTTGTCATTCTTTTCAATTTCACTCTTTTTGAATTACATTCGTTCGATCTGGTCTATCGTTCAAAATGAAGCTGCTTGCTGGTCTTGCTCTCGCCTCTATGGCTGTCGCTGCGCCCCTGGTGGATAAGCGCGCCCCTACTCCCTTGAACGTTGAGTTGAAGATGCAGGGGAACTCAAAGGTTAAGGCTGTTATCACCAATAATGGGAAGAGCAACTTGAAGCTCCTCAAGGTTGGAACATTCCTTGATACGGCTCCTGTTGAGAGGGCTCAGGTCTTTTCTGCCGGTAAGACTTCTCTGGATGTGAGGCATGGGTGAAATGTCAGGTGGTCTAGATATGTGACCTGTTTGGATATTGAGGGTTGAGTCTGCCCATGGAACTCAGCTCTCAGCAGAACAGGAGGGAGTATTCTCTGACACATTCTCGACACTACCCTCGCCTCAGCCACTACCCCCATAGCTTCACTCACTGACCTCTAACAGAAAAGAAGACTGTCCCCTTTGACGGTGTTCGCATCGCTCTCGACACCACCCAGCTCGATGACACCGCCTTCCAGAGCATCCCCTCCGGCAACTCCTACGAAGTCGAGTTCGACATCGCCGAGTTTCACGATCTTTCTGCTGGCGGCAAGTTCAGCGTTCTCTCCTCTGGCGCCCTCTCTTTCGCCCAGGAGAACTCCACCGAGCTCGTCGGCTCAGTCCCCTTCTACTCCAATCGTCTCGACGCCGAAGTCGACGGTCCCCAGGCCTTCTCCGTCCGCACCGCATTCCACCAGAAGCGCGCTCAAGTGCAGAGTGACTGCTCTGGCAGCAAGCTCCAGGTCACCCAGGCTGCTCTGTCGAACTGTGCTAGACAGGCTTCTGCTGCTCAGGAGGCTGCGTCTAACGGTCCTGCTGCGAAGGTGGAGGAGTACTTTAAGAACTCTGACGCTACGACTCGCTCGACTGTCGCTGATGTCTTTGCCAAGATTGCGGCTGAGTGTGGATCGACTAACGCTGGGGATACTCGATACTACTGTACCGATGTTTACGGCGCGTGCCAGAACGGTGTTCTTGCGTATACCGTTCCTGGAGGAAACTACATGGCCTACTGCGATCTGTACTTTGAGCGTCTTCCTGCCACCACTTCAACCTGCCATGCTCAGGACCAGGGCAACACCAACTTGCACGAGATGACCCATCTTAACCAGATCAAGGGAACTTCTGACTATGGTGGTTATGGATATAACTTCATCCAGAGCTTGACTGCTGAGCAGAACATCAACCACGCTGACACTTATGCTCTGTTTGCCAACGCTGTTAGTCTGGGATGTTAGAGGGTTAACGAAGCAAGTGGCCCATGGGTGCAGATGATGAGTTTGTTAGAGAGTTTGTGAAATTTGGATCAAGTAGGGTACACAATAAAGGATGGCGTTTTGAAGGCGGGACTTGTATAAGCAATCCACTAGAGTACGCGAGTTAACGCTGAATGCAAATGCCTGTGTGAGAAGGGCCGTTTGATGATACTCGCTTGGAAGACCAAACACTATACGTTATAGCAGAAGTTGCTAAGACGACGCGAAACAGCCTGATGCGATCATAGGCTGATTAAATGTGCCATCTTTGAGAAGTCACCACTGGGTGACCCGTGCTGAATAGAAGTCAAGGATATCCTCGTTGACACTTGACACCAGCTAGGCTGTGGTAGGAAACCTTCGTAAGTGACAAAAAGACTTGCGATACAATTGGTAAGTTCTTTGACTGCTTATTTCTCAGCCTTGGTCCAGAATCTTAACTACTCCGACATCCTACAGACCAGCCATAGACGTCTGCCAACGTCTGAGCGGGCTGGACTGAGTATGGAATGCTAGAGGATGCTAGAAGGAGGTGAAACACGACCCTCCTTGCGATAACCAAGGTAGTGGGCGAAGGCAGTTGATTAGGCAGATAGGTAGGTACCTTACGCACTTTATCGAGCTCGGTCTTGAGCTTAGTGGTCGAGATTGTTTGTACAGAATGTTAGCTTAGATGGAAACACCAACGTGCTTTTAGTACTTCTCTGTTCCTCCTTCAAAACGTGACAACATGACAATGCTCAGATCCTATGCCCTCTAATCGTTGAGCATCACACCTCGGCCACCGGGTCCCATTGGATGTGGCGATGTAAGCCCGCGTCATGATATCGTAGGTAGTCGCCCTCAAAGCGCCAGTATAAGCCGTGGGAAAAATTGGCGTTGACGCAGCTCGACCGGTCTCAGGCCAACGCGTCCAACTTCAACATCCCGACAACCCTACGCCAAAGTCATAATCTCTTGTCTTTCATGTGGCTGGCTTTCATTTGTTCAACCAGTCCGATAATTAAATCCAGGCTCCTTTCGTTACTTCTAGTCCTTGCGCCCCGAATGTAACCGTAACTGCCTTCTGGAGTGCTGTACCTAGAGACTTCTAGGGTACATAAATGTTGATTGCGGTGCGGAGTCCATAGCCACCTGAGAAGCAGGTCGAAGGACCCTCCCAGCGGCGCTGAATTCTTCAGCTATTTGCTGCTTCTCATTGTTGGACATGGAGCAATCGCTTTCCGCAGCCTCACAAATTGCTGGGATCTCATCAGATGTCCTCTGGTAGTCTGTTACACTGAGCGCACTGGCAGTTCGAGTGTAGACATTGTGGTGAAGTAGAGACTGAGGTAGGAACGAGTGTGTAGGAAGTCAAGCGGTTGGCTATGATTCTAGAGTGACGTGGAAACTTAAGTGAACGAAGCGTTGCCAAACTTTGTGAACGCCTCTATTTGATTTGTCACGTGAGCATACCTGCAAAATGCTTAAAGATACCTGGAGGTCCCACCTCATTCAGCTACCGTAGAAGCCTAGAGCAAATCTGATCTCGTGGAAGTCGAGAAGGTTGATCAGGTACCAAGCAGTGATTGCCTAATGTAATCGGATCCTGCCGAGTCTCAGTGATCTTCTGGAGATCTCAAGTTTCAATGCCCAACACCTCTTGGTTAGAATTTGGAAGACATGATTGGTTCGGAGATTGCATGGCTTGTGTGGGTCGGGCCAGGGCTTGTGTCTTGGTTTCTCGACGTCATCGCACAGGAGAATCTCCCCGCGACTTGAGGTCCTTGGTTTCACGACAGCTTCAGTCAAGGATGAGTCTTGAGGAGACCACTCAAGCTGACACGTCCCCGTAACAAGTTTGTTATTTCCCAAAGAAACATTCGGTAAGAATTTGCTATCCCGATGGACAAGTTGCACAGACCTCGATGCTGCAGTCACCCATTGGAAATTCCATCTGCCGGTGAGCTATTCAGGTCCTGGGCCAAGAACCCAAATGTAACGCAGCAGAGCCCGAGCGGCGAGCTTTGGGCTACCATGATCAAAGAAACACGGCTTGTGCCGTTGGTCTTGGTAAAGACGAAAATGAGAACGAAAGCCCTTTGAGGCTCTCCCCTCCATCGTTAGTTCCCTTCAGGGGAAGACCCTGCAGACTGAGAAACTTTGTTCCCGGTGGGTTTCTCCTCTCTCTTTTGTTAACGTCAAGATGGAGAAGGGTAGGTTAACTTGGTAAAGATGCCATTTTTAGAAGGGCACACTCGGGTCGGCCCATGCTGGATGATCATTTGCCTTGGTAGTAAAACACCAAGACTTGACATTCGTAAACATTTACATTTCCCTGCCTTATATGGGAATTCACATATGGTTCTACAGATTCGATCAGTTATCGAGAATTATCTGACTGTTAACATTTTCCCACAGCCTCAATTGATCCCAGTCCCTGCATTTCATGTGCCATAATCCGGCTTTTGGCTATGCCGGCCCACTTGGTTTGTGCTTGGGCGTCGAGACCACTATCGAAGCGAATGGGCGTTAAGTTACAGCGGTGGTTCTCTTTTTTTCTTTGTGTAAGCTTGTGTTTGTGTACTTTTACGCACGTAACGTTTCTCTTTGATCTCGTGCATTGGTTCTTCGAGGTAATCAGGGACCCTTGATTGTTTGTCTGATATATATCAGGTGTTGTGCTGTCTCACTGTTTAACTCGGTCTCATCACAAGTCGTCATCAGCTGGACAGTAAAGCTCCAGGGCTCTCTCCTCATGCAATTGTACCGCTCAGCCCCCTGTAACTGTCGCTAGAGTCACAAGCCACTGAGAAGACGGGGATCCACTTGGACAGTTCGGCCCTGGAATCTCTTGACAAGCGGGGTCTTGGATCAGTCTGTCAACGTCATCGGCCTCTTCTCACCCTCCATCATCCATCCTCTCCATCTTGGTCATCCAATCCCAGTTGAATATTCCTACCACTAATCCTTGGTCCTCTTCCCTCCCTCTCGACTCATCAAGTATCCCGCCCACCCTCCAGTACATCATCTCTTCTTTCTCTTTCTCTCCTCCATCCTTCTCTCATCATCTTTTTTTGCACCTGCATCTTTAACTTGCACTTAATATCCTTTCGCTGAAAGGCGATCAGCTATACCACTAACACCAGAGGACTAGCCTCTATACGTTCCGGTCTGCTTAAGCAGCCACAATCAGACAACACCACACACAGTTATAATGGCCGAACGCTGGGACCGCGATCGCTTTGAGCGAATGCGCGGCGAACAAAACAGAGATCGCTTCGATGACGATCGCTCATATACACGCAGCACACGAGGCCGCGACCACTCAGATGAGCGATATGACCGTCGACCTGGCCGCGGTTACTACGAAGAGGAAGACATCCGTGACCGTCGCTACTACGGCGATGATTCTCGCTATCAACCTCAGCGAGAAAGAGAGCGAGATATGCCACCTCCCTGGGCTCGTCGCACAGATGTTTTAGAGAGAGAACGAGAGCGAGACCATCCTCGTCGCGAATCTCCACCTCGTCGACCAGGTTTCCTCCGCCGACAATCATCTCTTGACACTTTTGACCGCCGACCACGTTTCTTCCAGGATCGTGAGGAGTACCCCCCTCCCGCTCGCCGTGAGGATATCCGTCCTCGAGATCACCGAGATCCTCGAGATGACTACCGTGCTCCTCCTTACACACCTATTCCTCTTCCCAAGACCCGAGGACTGCCTCCACCTCGCAGATACGGCGACGAGTATTATGACGACATCAAGATTGCCGAGCCCGACTATTATGGCGACGATGATTACCGATCCATGCCTGAGCGTGTTCGTGAGCGCGAATACACTCGATCTCGCAACCGCCGTGGACGCAGCCGAGAATCTCGTTCTACTCGAACTCGTTCTGTTCGAAGCAGCTCGTATTCTTCATCTTCTAGCCGCTCCTCTAGCAGCAGCGGAGGTACTACAGTGAAGAGCGAGTATCCCAAGAAGGGCAAGACTCGCATTCCTGCTAAGCTTGTTTCCAAGCGAGCTCTCATTGATCTCGGATACCCATTCTTTGAAGAGGTTTGTAGTCAAATGCCCATGATTCCTGCTCGGCCTCTAACATGATTTAGGGCAACACAATTATTGTGCAGAAGGCTCTGGGCCAAGATAACATTGATGAGCTGCTCAAGGTCAGCGAGGATTACAAGAAGGGTAAGTCCTGCAATTCGCAAAATTGATACGCTACTAACACTCTGTAGTCGAAGCTGAAATTGCCGCCTCTCGAGAACCCAAGGCTCCTACTGCTGCTTTGCCTGCACCTCCGCCCAAGGAGAAGGTCTGGGAACCAACCCCGGAACCACCGCCTGCAAAGACTCCTCCGCCTCCCGCCCCTCCAGTTCAGGCACCCCCAGCCCAGGCACCTCCCGCTGCTGTTCCAGTTGGAACTCCAGCTCCTCCTCCACCCGTTCAGATGATGCCTCCACCTCAACCATATCCAATGCCGACCCCGGCCCCAGCACCGATCCAGATGCAGCCTCCTCCTATGGTTCAGCCTGGAGGTCCCCCTCCTGGTTTCTATCAGCCAGGACCGCCTCCTCAGCAAGTGCCCTTTGACTATGAGGAGACTGTTATCCGTGACGTTTCGCCATCTCGATTCACAACTACCACTACATCCTCTAGCTGGGACTCGTACCATCACCACCATCACCCCACCGAGGAGCTTGTCGTCCGATCTCGCTCTCGATCCCGCAGTGGTCGCGACATCCGAAAGGAGATCAAGGCTTTGGAACGTGAGCTGGCTCACCGACCTCGAGGACGTTCTACCAGCGGCGAGATCGTCAGCGCCGAGCGCTTGCCAGATGGACAACTCGTTATCCGGGAGGAAAGATTGGAGAAGGTGGTTGAACACCGCAAACCTCCTCGTATTGAGAAGGACAAGAAAGGTAGGATGGCCATTAGCGTACCTAAGTACCGTTAAAGGTGCGCCTTTTTATGTTATTCGCGTCTCTTGAGAACGTGTGGCTGACTCGGCTGCACAGGACCTCCTCCTAAGCTCATGCGGGCCATGCTTGCTACTCTGACTTAAACGACATGTCGACGACTACCAAGGCGAATGAATTGAACGAAAACGATACGGCCTTGATGGCTTATGAGGGCAACCGAACTTTCACAGGATATATTCGCAAGACTGGGATACATATGAAATGAGGTGTATATTCTGGATATTTTAGTGTTTCAAGGATCTAGACAAGTTTGGGACTGGAGTATTCATTGGAAAACCTACAACATTAACGACTTATGACATTTATTTTAATCCTATACTTGGTTTAGGTAATCTTAGATGTGCTTTGCGCCGTGAAATGCTGTGTCTGTGAAGTGATTCAGACTCCCCTTCGTCTTGGTCACAAGACCCAGAGTCTCGTGCGCAGCAGAGGCAGTGAACGGGTTTAGTACGGCAACTGGATAAGGTGATCTAGATTAGCACAAGGGCTATTACATGATCTGCAGAGCCAGCAAGGGATCGATTGAGCCGCAGTTTAAAGTCGAGTACAAGACCAACCACAGAAAGGTCACTGAAGTTTGAAGGGCATCGCATTAATTTTGACTAAATAAACTAGGATTCAATAGCGAAAGATAGTTTCTTAGTGTCCCCAACACCAACCAGGTCCTTTCCACCGAGCATCAGGGTATAGCGTATATCCATCGCCAAGCAAACCTCCCAATAATCCAAGGTCAAAAGATTTACTGAGTCTTCTTGTTCGCAACAGTCCGTCCCTGCGCGGTATACCTCACATAAGCGAAAGTACCGAGGACGCCAATAGCAAGAATAGCAGCGTTGCCTTTGTCATCGTCAGCACGCAAAAAATGATGTAAATACGAAGGAGGGAACTCACTGGCTACAAACTTGCCCACGCCACCGGTGACCTCAACAAGACCGGAGACGACATCGCCGATGAGGTTGAAAAGACCCTGAACGAAGCCGAGAACAGCGGAGAGAATGGAGTGGATGACGGAGTAGAAGGTGTTGAAGACTGAGGCGAGAAGCTCGTAGATGGAGCTGAAGAGATCGCTGATAGCACTTGTGATGGCCATTTTGTCTGTTGATCGTGTTGTTCTTGTTCAAGTGTAGGTAGGTAAGTGTTTCGTTGAGAAAAGGCTGTTTGAGAAAGAGAGCTCTTGGCTGCCTTTTATGACCTTGTCTACTTCACTTTCTTGTTCCTGGATTTAAGAGCAAGTCGTGACGTCGTCATGCTCTCGATTTCGCGATGTGCATGTGACGTCACCCAACCACGCGACGAGATGAGGAGGTTGTTTTGTGAAACATTGCGTCTTGATGAGGTAAGAAGTGTTTTACATCAGGTCAGCCTTGTGAGAACAAGGTAATGTGAGCTAATGGCCGTTGAAGAGATGTCACTTTTAGTTAATGGTTGATGCTATGCTTGATGCTTGGCTCTTTTTAAGTGGTTGCTTCTTCGGGAATGGGGAGACGTCTGAGAGTGCTTATTTTTGAGATCGTCGATCTGGGCTTGGGGTTGTAGGCTGAGATGGGGATGGTTAGGTTGGCGGACGGGTTGAGAATGTTCCAGGTTGATAAGCTTTCTGGTGTTTTCTACAAGAGTTAGGCTTTCTCGTCGTTTAATACAGGACCTCACGGCGCACCGTTCATCTGCTGTATTGTACACTCCGTGATCAATTAAACTTAAACCTCCGATGGTCGATGCCTTATTTGTGGGACCCTTCCGAACCCGTGTGGATCCAGCACCGGAGGCACAGCTGGGATGAGAAACGGCCTCGGTGCCGATATTGCGTTCACTATTACCCCTCTCAGCAGGCACAGAAGAGCTCCGCATGAAGCTTATTGAACCGATATCGCTTGATAACGAATATGTAACTACAATGAGGCCTTTGCTGACTTGTCACATCACCTCATCTCGCTCCTCACAGACCAGTGTTTGAGATTCCTCCCAAGCTCCAGACCAAGTCTCATCTTGTCTTATACCAAGCTTCCCGGCGATTACCACAATTAACATCTAAATGCCGATTTACCGGGTCCAGGTGGGTACTCATCCCATTCCACCTGGTTGAGCATGGGTTAACAGATCCATAAGGTTTTATCCATGTAACCAAAATGATCCTGCAGGATCTGTAGAAGCCACCTTCATTTCAGATATATACCACCAAGTGACTCAAATGCTGCAAGCGAGCTGATACATCAAGGGTTTGACGTGACAGCTGTCGACATGGCTTGGCTTTGCTCTCGGTCCCGAGCCCGAGCCCGAGGCTTTGACAATTGCCTTCTTTTAATAGTTGACATTTCCACATAGCTGCAAGGCACAAAATTGAACCCGTGCCGGTGCGGCTCTTCCCTCACAACACCTGGAGACGTCTATCTGATAAGGAAGGATGTCGGAGTCACGATATCACGAAGGCCTCGAGGTCTACTCGGACAGCGCAGCTCATGCGCCAGAAGTCAACCCACACGGCGTTTACAATCAGGGTTCGAAGGATCCAATATCGGGTTATGTTCAGGTCGTCGAGGCACGAAAGGGTCCCTTTGGTCTGAGCATATTGAGCCTATGCGCGCTTGTTGCTATCATTACTGCAGTGGTTGTCGGAGCTGGAGTTGGTGGAGGTCTTGGATCAGCTCTGGCCGACTGCAAGAAGTACGAGACCCAGACTTACTAACACATGCACAAATGCTAACAGCCATAGTTCACAAGTGTCTGAGGCCCCAGCTGCGTCCGCGATACAAGCCTCCGCCTGTCCAACCCTCACAGCAAGCGCAAGCGAAACCACCGAAACCGCCGAGTCGAAATTCTACGAGCCCAAACCAGCAGACCAAGTAACAAACCTCACTCTCCCCGACGCATGCTCCCAACCAAACGGCAAAGACGACTACACCACAACCAACGGCTACGGCTTCACATATACCTGCGGGTTTGACTACCCAGGGAACGATATAGTGCCCATACTGGCCTACACAGCATTCGACTGCATGCATGCATGCGCAATGTACACCGAGATCAACAGCGGGAAGGAAAACGCGACGCTCTGTGATAGTATCGCGTTTAATAGAGAGATGGCGAAGAACTATGAAGTCAAGGGAGGGAATTGTTGGCTGAAGACGGGGACGAGGGATCTTTTTCCGGCGTCGGATTTGATGCCGACGTTTTTGTATGCGAAGAGGAATTCGTGAGTTTGATGTTGGTGGGGGACTGTGATGATGGATGACTAATTGATCATACTACTTGGATGTTTCTTTTTTTTTTCGCTTGGGTGTTGTCTTTGCGATTGAGGCTGCGGGGATGGACTCATGAGAGCGTCAGCGTGGCTGAGTTAAAGAGTAATAGCCGGACGGTCTTGGCAGTAAGACCATCGCAGCGATGAGGTTGGGCTCAAACGGGACTAGGAAAACAGCAACGACATGAGGCTCTAGTTTCTTTTGAATCACAACTATGAGAATTTATGGCTAGAAGATATTTAAAGTAAATGTCATTTGCCATCAATCGACATCCGAATCGTGAGCTTGGTGTTTCAACAAGTTCATCTTCAAACCTCAAACCGATACGAATACCCACTACTCAATCACAGTGCTGACACACGAATAAAGTGCTTAGAAACATACCACAGCTGCTCAGCCCCAGAAGCATCGCTCGTTTACATTCTTCGAACCACGTGCCGAGACAAGCTCTTGTAAGGCATTTCGTACGGCCATTACCCATTTGAGACGGCACTGAAATGCCGATTCACGATCAATCCGCTATTGCGGCTGGGCCAGTGACCGAGTCGTACGTAACACTTCTGCGCCAGCATCACATCGCATCGTATCCTCTGGGCGGTTACGAATATTGTGGACCACCCGAGACCACCTATAAATGGGATTTTTAGAGTTTAGTTCTTTCAACGTCGGCGGTTAACAATCACTCTTCGACAGCTCAACAATAGGGAACTCACTCTATGATTTAATTAAAAGATCAAAGGTCATTTGCAAAATTACGCCTGACCACAACGTGAGTTACAGCTCAAAAAGCCTTGGTAACGTCCGTCACCCAAAGACTGGCCACCCCCACAGACCGGCCACCTTGCTTTTAACCCAGCCACCCAATTTATATATACTTTAAACAGTCACAACTCTACCAATTTAATTCCAATTAATTTCAAACTAACGCCAATCAATTCAGAA